AGCCCAGCAGGTCGAGGCTGCGGTGGCCAGGAGTGGCCACTGCACTCTAGTCTGGGCGACTGAGTGAGACTCCAACTCAAAAAAAAAAGAGGGGGGACATCAGTTTTGCCAGTTCACTGGTCCTGCTCCCTGGCTGCTCAGGTCTAGAGAACCAAGGGCAAGTGCCAAAATGGGCCCGTTGGCCCCAGGGTAGAGCTGCATCTGCTCTTTCCTTTCCTGCAGTTCTTGCTCGAGTGTGACCATCTCAGAGTATGTGAAACCAAAGGACAGGAGCACTGTCTTGACACCTCTGCAGCCTCCTCCATCAGCACTGTGCTCTTGTGAAGGGTAGACACCAAATAAATTGGACCTAGAATCACCAGGAGGACCCATCCATTCATCCAGCAGATCTTTGTTGAGTGTTTGCTGTGGGTCCTACCATGTGCCTGGCATTATCCTAGGGAGATGTTAGTAACCACAACAGACAAAAATTCTTGCTTTCAGGCACCTCCTTTCTAGTAGGGGAGACAGATGATAAGCAGTAAATACTAGTTTCTTCGAGGGTAGTACAAGGGGAAGGTGGAGCAGGGTAAGGGAGAGGAGGCTCAGGTTTGGAGGGGGTGGGCAGGATGCACTGTTAAAGGACAGACCACACCGGGGTGACAGTTGAGTCCGGAGCTGAAGGGTATGAGAGAATGGGCTTTGGGGATGCTGGGGGGAATGTTTTGCCCAGGCCAGCAGACTTCAGCTGGAAAAACATTTTTGAAATCACTGTTTGTGGTGAGATTTGATTACATTAATGAAGATGTCAAGGCATTTGGGGCTACCAATTGACAGCCTGGAGGACAGTGGCTGGAATAGCATGCTAATAGCAAGCTTCTGTAGTCAGACTTCGAGCCACTTCGTTCCAAGTTTTGAAAAAGCCTGAGAGTTTTGGAGGATCCCTTCCTCTCAGAAACTGACGGCACAGAAACCTAACCATTACCTCCTCTCTAGGGTGTCCTTAGAAATCTGAGGTGTCCTGCCCCTTCTCCAACACTCGGGAGCAGCCACTCCAGCCAGTTGAAATCCTGTTTGGTTTCAGGTCTGTGGCCCTTCCCGTACCAACCCTAGCATTATGATAGATGACCTCCTGACCCCATGCTCACCAGGGGATCCAGGGGCTATGGAGATGACTTGGATGGATGTCCCTGGTGACAAACTCTTAGAGCCTGTGGTTTGCATGGTAAGTGACCAGCTGGGAGGGAAGACTGCAGAGCCCGGAAAATTGAGGACTTGTGTCCAAGGATAAAAATAAGGTCCTCTTCTTCTGTATCCTGGGCTGTCGAGAATGGGCTTTGCAGCCCTGAGCAGCTGGGGCTCCTGCCATTAGACTCAGTGGATGCGGACGGAGGCAGCAGTATTCGCACTTTACATTCTTCAGCAAGAAAGGTCCAGTCCAGATGATGTGACTGTGTCATTCCATGGGTTTGGCTTATTTGATGCACAGAAGGAACCAGAAAATGTCTGTCAGCATGGTTTGATTTGGTATAGCTGCAAAACAGCCCTTCACCCCAACAATCTGGACCTCTGGCCATCAGTCTTGCCAGTTGTATTGCCTGTGCCATCCTGGCAGGTGTCTGCCCTTGAGGCTGCTGTGGTGGGCATGCAGCTCAGAAAGCTACTCATCGGAATTATGAGCTGAGGGAGCTTAGATTCTGCCAGACCGAAAGCAGGCTCACCTGGAAGTGGGATGAGCTGCCTCGGGGGGAGAGGGGATCCCTGCCATAGGGGATTCGAGTGAGGCAATTCAGGGAGTTTAGCGTAGGGAGCTCTGCATTTGGAGTGACCTTGAAGGCAGCCCTTCACGCCCTGGGCCGCACGGGTGTGTGGTGAGAGGCTGAGGACCTGGAGCCTGGTCCCTCAGCTGTGTGCACTTGTCTTTGCAGTCGGACATGCTCCGGTCTTTGGCTACCACCCGGCCCACAGTGAATGCAGATGACCTCCTGAAAGTGAAGAAATTCTCAGAGGACTTTGGACAGGAGAGTTAAAAGCTGCTTCACCTGGGCAACGGTGAAGGTGGGAGATTGATGGGGGCAGAACCATGGCACTTCCCACGTCAGCGGCCAGACAGGGCTCCAGGGCTTGTTGTCCCCTCTGCCGCCGGCCGCCAGCCAGGGAGCAAGAAGGAAGGGCCTCCGTGGCCACAGATGCCCTGCCGCCCACTGGGCACACAGTGGATCCTGGCTCTTCCGACTGCCTCCCCTTCTCATCCTGGATGCTCACCAACTCCTTTTCCTGCCCCTCTTTTTAAAAAAATCTTATTTTGTTCCCTTAAATTAATGCTGCTTGGATTTTCATCTTGTTTATAAAGAAAGATAAAATCACCTGAAAGCGTCAAGGAGTGGGAGCACCAATGCTGTGGGGGATGCAGACCTCCAGACAGCCGGCTGGGCCCCACTGCCCTGTTCCTTTTACACCCAAGTTTGGCCCCTTGAGAACAAGACTGGCTGATGCCCCTGCATCCCCAGCCCAAGCTCTGCCTCAAAGACCCAGAGTAAGATAAGCCATTCTCCCCCTCCTGTGTTTGCATCCAGGGCCCTGTGTCTTCCCTGCAGGAGGAGGAGATGGTTTCTGTGAGCACAAAGCTGTTTCAATCAGAATGAGGAGAAGGCACATAGGTGGGCGTCACCGCTGCCTTTTCTTCCTCTGAGTGTGAGAACACTGAACCCAGCCACTGCCCCTGGGTCCCTGTCCTGGAAATGGTCTAATAAATCCTTTTCCCTTCTTGAGCCACCTGAGTGATCTCATCTCTGACTCTTGTCTGGGCTCTTTGATGGCTGCTCTTAATTCCAACAAAAAGACCCTTGGGTTTTCTCTCTCTGCTCTCTCCTCCTCCATTTTTTTCAGCAGAGCAGGAAAGATGAATGCTCGCCACCTGCTGTGGTTCTCAGGCCTGTTCTCCAGCCACATCTGCAAGAGCCCCTCCCCTAAGGCTGCAGAAGTTTGGCTAGGACTGCTTAGGGGACCTGGACAGTTCTTCCCGTTGTCCTACCTACAGATCACAGACTGCAAATTGGGAGGCCTGCGGGTGAAACCTGGCCTGCAGCTGTATTTGGTTTGGTCTGTGACCAACATTTAAAAAGCAAGAGTAGGGCAACCTCTTTCAGGTCCCCTCCCACTGTGGGAGCTTTTCTGTCTTCTTAATAAATCCTACTTTCAAAAATAAAAAATAAAAAGCAAGAGTTGGCATAAAAATTCAGATTCCTGGCTTCTGGAAGATGAAGTTAGGTAATGCTGGGCCTGCATCCCTGAGGCAGCCCGGACTGCTCTGTACAGAAGGGGCCACCCAACTCCACTCGTGTTGCCTGCCCAGGCAGCCCCTATGGTCAGTTGACTCTGTGAGCCACCAAAGCTCCATAGCTGGTAGCCTTGGAAACGCACCTGGCAGGGAGCAGAGTAAGCGGCGGCTGTCCCACGTTACCATGTGTATATGACTATGCCAAAGTCAAGCCATGTTCACACAGAACTGCCTAGGCTAGTAAATGAAGCTTGTGGCCTTTGAAGGGGGTTGTTCTGGCCTGGCTTCTCCAAAACCCAGTAGGAGTCCTCTAGCTTTAAAACCTGAGTGGAAGATGGGCTTGATGGCTCATGCCTGTAACCCCAGCACTTCGGGAGGCGGAGGAAGAGGATTATCTGAGCCTAGGCATTCGAAACCAACCTGGGCAACTTAGCCAGACCTAGTCTCTACAATAAATCAAAAATTAGCTAGGCACGGTGACACTTTCCTGTACTTCCAGCTACTTGGAAGGCTGAGGCAGAAGGATCACCTGGGCCCAGCAGATCGAGGCTGTGTTAGCTGTGGGCACGCCACTGCACTCCAGCCTGAGTGACAGAGGGAGACTTCAACAACTCAAAAAAAAAAAAAGCCAAGTGTGGTGGCTCACGTCTGTAATCACAGCACTTTGGGAGACAGAGGCAAGAGGATTGCCTGAGCCCAGGGGTTCGAGACTAGCCTGGGCAACTTGGTGAGATATCTTCTCTACAATAAATCAAAAAATTAGCTGGTGGTACATGTCTGTAGTTCCAGCTACTTGAAAGGCTGAGGTGGATCACCCGAGCCCAGCAGGCTGAGTCTGCAGTGGCCATGAGCATGCCACTGCGCTTCAGCCTGGGTGACAGAGACTCCGACTCCAAAAAAAAAAAAAAAGGGTGAAGAGAGACCTTCTTGTGCAAGTGACCTTTCAGCTGAGATCTCAAGAGATGAGTAAATTAAGTGAAGACGAGAAAGTAGAGCCAAAGGACCAGAGATCACAATGCACTTTAAGAATGTGAGGAATGAGCCGGGCTCGGAGGCTCAGCCTGTAATCCCAGCAATTTGGGAGGCTGAGGTGAGCGGATTGCCTGAGCCCGCGGGTTCGTGACCTGCCTGGGCAACTTGGCGAGACCTATCTCTACAACAAATCAAAAATTAGCCGGGCATGGTAGCGCACGCCTGTAGTTCCAGCTACTCGGAAGGCTGAGGCGGAAGGATCGCGGGAGCCCAGCAGGTTGAGGCTGCAGTGGCTGGGAGCGGCCACTGCATTCCAGTCCGGGTGACAGAGTGAGACTCCCAACTCAGATAAAAAAAAAGATTGTGAGGAATGACTAGGTGCAGTGGCTCAGCCTGTAATCCCAGCACTTTGGGAGGCCAAGGCAAGAGGACTGCCTGAGCCTGGGGGGTTCGAGACCAGCCCGAGCAACTTGGTGAGACCTCATCTCTACATTAAATCACACACACACACAAAGCCACCAGAACTGATTATGTAGCCAACTCTTAGATCATGCTGACCTTGCACTGAGATGCTTCTTTGCTGTGGTCAGAAGCCTCTGCTGGAATGAGCTATTGTGGTCTCGTAGCACGAAAGCCTGGCTTCAGTGCTGCTTTCCAGTGCTGGTTAGGGCCCCTACCATGTTACCTGGAGTATCAGTGGTTCTGTTTTGGTTTTTTTTTTGAGTTGGAGTGTCACTCTGATCCTTCCACCTCAGCCTTCCAAGTTGCTGGAACTACAGACATGAGCTACCACACCCAGCTAATTTTTTTGATGTATTGTAGAGATGTCTCGCCAAATTGCCCAGGCTGGTCTTGAACACCTGGGCTCGGGCAATCCTCTTGCCTCTGTCTCCCAAAGTTTCGAAAACTGTACTTTGAGCTGGGTGCGGTGGCTCATGCCTGAAATCCCAGCACTTTTGGGAGGCCAAGGTGGGTGGACTGCCTGAACCCAGGAGTTAGAGACCTAGGCAATGTAGCCAAACCTCATCTCCACAAAAAAAGCAGAAAGTTAGCTGGGCATGGTGACACACGCCTATAGCCCTAGCTACTTGGGATGCTGCTATGGAAGGATCACCTGAGCCCAGGTCAAGGTTACAGTGACCTGTGATCATCGTGATTGTGCCATTGCCCTCCAGCCTGGGCAACAGAGACCTTGCCTCAAAAATAAATAAATAACATTGTACGTCGAGTTACCTTTACTTGAATCAGAAGGTCCTTGTTCCTTATTTGTCCTTGCTTCCTCATTCCTGTTTAAACACCTTGAAAAGTCAAAGGGGCCAAGAGAAATATCGGGGATGCTATGGTTCATTACCATAGCTCGAACAGCATGCAGACACCCTGCCTTTCCATTTGTCTCTCTCCATGATCAATGACAGGAACCATTACTGATGCTGAACTAATCTTGGCCTGGTGCAGTGGGCTCAGACTTGGGCTGCCAGCACATGACCAGACACTATGTTATACATGCCAAGGAGTCTCCTTCCTGAAATACTCTGAAATTTACTTCTTGGCCGGGCACGGTGGCTCAAGCCTGTAATCCCAACACTTTGGGAGGCAGAGGCAAGAGGACTGCCTGAGCCCAGAGGTTTGAGGCCAACCTGGGCAACTTGGCGAGACTTCGTCTCGAAAATAAAAAAAAAAAAAAAATTAAGCCGGGCTCGGTGGCTCAGCCTGTAATCCCAGCACTTTGGGAGGCTGAGGTGAGTGGATTGCCTGAGTCCGTGGGTTCGTGACCCGCCTGGGCGACGTGGCAAGACCTCATCTCTACAATAAATCAAAAATTAGCTGGGTGTGGTAGCACGCGCCTGTAGTTCCAGCTACTTGGAAGGCTGAGGTGGAAGGATCGCCGGAGCCCAGCAGGTCGAGGCTGCGGTGACCGGGAGCGGCCACCGCACTCCAGACTGGGTGACAGAGTGAGACTCCAATTCAAAAAAAAAAAAATTAGCTAGGTGTGGTAGTGTGAGCCTGTATTTCCGGCTGCTGAAGGCTGAGGTGGAAGAATCGCCAAGGTTGACACTGGGGTGGCCATGAGCATGCCACTGCACTCTAGTCTGGGCGACAGAGTGAGACTCTGTCTCAAAAAAAAAAAAAAAATTCACTTCTCTACCTGGAGATTCTGTTCCAAACCTTCTGTCTACATTGGCTTTCACTGTGTAAGTTGATTTCTAAAACGCATTAGCTCGAGATGCTGATTTGTGTGTGTCTGTGGTTTCTGTGAGTGATACCAACCTGAGGGGGAAGAGATTTTCTTTACTAGAAATGCAAGGATGTGTTGCTACTGATCACATCACAAAGGCCTTAACCACAGAAGACCATTAGGAAGTCTCAGGTGTTGCAATGCGACCCTGCAGAGGCTTCTGAGTTTTGTCCAAGTGAAAGGAGGCTCAAATTCTACAAACTTCCCCAAAAGTCAAGTCTCTAACCTCGGGGCAGTGCTTGATCATGATTCCTTTACAAAGTCTAACTGTACTTAGAGCCAATTACTTCATGGGCCCCCCAAGAGAAAGTCATTGGGGAGGATGGGTCTTTTCTGGGTTCATTTAATTAACTGCCATTTATAACATTTATCTCTAAGCAACTTACTGGACTTCCCACTAGGTATTTTGGTTTTGAGGACTGTTTGGCAAGATTACTTACCTACTTCACAAAACTCAACATAAAAATAAGGTAAGAGTTTATCTAAAACTGGATTTTTCTCATCTCTTGACAAAGCTCTTAAAGCTAAACATTGGTCAGTGTGATGCTATCTTTGCAAAATAAGTGTGGTGACCACAAAGTCCGTTCTATTGTTTCCATCCCCCTCCCTCAGCCCTGCTCCATGTCCTCCACCCAAAGACTAAGCCAATACCAGTAATCTTCCCCAAGTTTGCTCAAGGTGGAAGGTGGAAGGCAAAAGGCAGAGGCCTAAACTATAACTGAATCTGTTAAAATGTGTGGGTACTGTCAGGCACAGTGGCTCACGCCTGTAATCCCAGTATCTTGGGAAGCAGAGCTGAGAGAACTGCATGAGTCCAGGGGTTCGGGACCAGCCTGGGTAACTTGGCGAGACCTCAACTCAAAATAAATAAAATGTGTGGGTACTTTTTACATTAATGCTGTCATTAAACACTTCATTGAGCTAGGACCATCTGTCCTGTTTTACTTCCACAAGCAAACTGGCATCCAGGGCAAACCAAAAAAACATACACACAAGTCTTCTGTAAAAATAAAAACTCAGAAAAGATGGTCACTCACAGCCTTACCTGCATTTTTTTTTTTTGAGTTGCAGTCTCACTCCGTCACCCAGGTTGAAGTGCAGTGGCACACTCACAGCTACCCCAGCATCCACCTGCTGGGCTCCAGCAATCCTTTTGCCTCAGCCTTCCAGGTCGCCAGAACTACAGGCACGCGCTACAACGCCTGGCTAATTTTTTTTTTTTTTTAATTTATTGTAGAGACATGGTCTTGCCAAGTCACCTGGGCTGGTCTCGAACCCGCAGGCTCAGGCAATCCATTAGCCCTGGCCTCCCAAAGTGCTGGGATTACAGGCTGAGCCACCGAGCCCCAGCCTTTACCTACATTTTTATTTTATTTTGTTTTTTGAGTTGGAGTCTCACTCTGTCACCCAGACTGGAGTGCAGTGGCCGCTCCCGGCTACCTGCATTTTTAAACACAACTTTCACGATATGTGGAGACTACATTGCTCTCAAATCTTGACTTTCGGAAATTATACAGGTCTTATGAACTCACTGCTACTGAGAATGAATTTACTTGCCTCACTTATGGCCATACAAAATCGTCAGGAAATGTCCACTCCCTCAGGGGAGTTATTTTTCTCAAGTTATTGGCAATATCTTGTCCACAGCTGATTTCGGGACAGACATTTATAACATCACCTTTCAGCTCAGTGTGGCATGCTTCGAAAGTCCAGCTTCCTGTTAGATCCAAGCCACAACCAAGTTGATACCAAGAAAGACTGGCTCAGCTCAAAGCCGAAGTGTTTGCATCTCGTTCTTCAGAATCCTCAGTCCCAGTAGGAAGGCTCTAGTCATTCACCTCTGCCCAGTGGACGTTTGTGAATGTCTTGCTGTCCATTTTGTCAATGAATAGGCAGCCCTGCAAGTGGTCCATCTCGTGCTGGATGATGCGGGCTGCCCACCCGCTGGCCTGCCACACCACTTGCTCTCCACTTGGGTTCAGCCCTGCAGAATAAGTTACAGCCTGGGTGAGTAGGGACAGCTGAAATGCATCATCCTCCACCTTCTTACCCTATGCCCTGTCCCCTGTCCCCTGCCCTAGCTGTTCCCATTTACAAGAGGCAATGGCAGAAAGTGAACGTGGATAGCAGCCCCTCTTGTTCCTGGAAGAAATGCCTCAACTCGGTCCATGACCAAGTATTCAAGCCGGTTCCCCAACTCCAAGGATCAAGTTATTGGACTCACTATGGAGCTGAGAGATAAGAACTCATTTTCCTGTGGCGCTTCCTCTCTGAACAGTCCTCCCACTTGTGAGGCATTGCTGCTGGCATTCCAACCCTGACACAGGAATCTGCTTGGGACACCACTGTCTTTCTCACCCTACTGACCAACTGGCTTGCTCTGCAGGAACGACCATTCCAACCCCAGAGAGAACCACAGAGAACATCCTGCGATACCAGGACGGGGAAAGGCTTAGCCCCCTGAGCTGGGCCCCACTTCTCCAACCCCACCGTGGCAGAGCTGCCTGGAGCCGGTGTGTTTGAGACAAAACGAGCGAGGGAGCAGAAAGGTAACAGCGAAATTAGGGGACCCTTTCGGCACGTACTCCCTTCCCCCCGGCTTGGTGTCCGTCTGAGCGGGCTCTGCTCTCACAAGAGCCTCTGTCGGTCCTGACTCCCGTCCACTCCCGGGCCCCGATCGACCGCTGCCCTGTCCGTCCTCTCACTGGCGTTTCTTGGCGCCGCAGACGCCCGCCGCTCACACCTGAAATCTGCACGGCCTGGAAGCGGGGCACGCAGGCCAGGAAGCCGGCGACGCTCTCGCAGCCCTCAGGGAAGACGACCAAGCGGCTGTCCAACACGCGAAGGCTGGGGTTCACGAACACGCGCAGGGGGAAGGGCTCCATCTGGCGGAGCGCGCGCAGGCGCGGCGCGCAGGCGCGGCAGAGCGCCTCGGGCAGCTCCAGGGCCAGCACCTGCAGCGGCACCCCGAGCTGCGGCGCGCTCAGGCCCACGCAGCGCCGGCGCCGCATCACCTGCACCAGCCGCCGCACCAGCCGCCGCAGCTCCGGGCCCGCCAGCTGCGTCCGCTCCACAGGGGCCGCCACCGCGCGCAGCACCGGGTCCCCGACCTGGCACACGCGCGGGTACGGCGGCTCCGGCGCTCCCCGCACCAGACGCCTCACGTAGCGCCA